AATTATTTTTTTACTGTGTGTCAAACACAAAGCATTCTCACTTCTTCTTAAGAAATAGTCTCCTATATTTAAAAAAAGTTCAGAAAAGTTTTTCTAATTTATACATTGTGTTTCTTTTCCAATTTCTGTACAGTACTTTGTTCTAGCAAAAAGATCACTAGCTGAGTCTACATTGTAATTATGTTTTTACCTTAGTGTGTGCAGTCTGTTTTATTTTATGCATAAAATTTGTTTGTATCCATTGCATGTTCTTATTCCTTTTTCAAAGTTGAATTTTGATGTCAAGATAAACACTGAATTGTCACTTATATTAGTCAGCTTTCTGTTGTAACAAAATAACTGAGATAATTAACTCAAAAGAAGAAAAGATTTTTGGGTTATGGTGTTGGAGGTTTAGTCCTTGGTCAGTTGATCCTGTGGCAAGGCAGTACCTCATGGTGGGGAGTGCCTGGTGGAGCAGTATCCACCAGGTGGTGATGGCAGATGGAAAGTCCAAAAGAGCAGTGTCTGGGATTCTCATATCCCCTTCAGTGGCACACCCTCCTTGATAATCTCATTTCGTTCCATTAGGCCCCCTCCTGAAGCTTCCCCTGCATCCCAGCACCAAATAAGCTGGCAAATAAGCCGTTAGCCACAGGCCCTTCGGGACACTTATCTAAACTGTAGCATCAGTCTAGAGTCATATTTTTTATGTTTGGCTGGATTTTTATTAAGACAGAATTTATTAGTCCTCAGATTTTTAAGTGTAGGGTCAGGTATGATACCCATTCCAGAAGTTGTACAGTTTCTTCAGAAAATTTTGAACAAATAAAAATAATTCATTTTTCTGATTGAAATTAAAGAATAGAATTAGTCTTGATTCTCTAGTGGTAAAGTATGAGACCGTTGTAACATTTATGCTTATTCTGAAAAAGGTTTCAGTCAGGGAAAGGTACAAATTTTCCATCACTTTAAGTGTTTGCATGTAATTCATAAAGGGTATGTTCTTGATAAAAGTTTAATGAAATAAATGGGTTCATCTGTTAAAGTTGTTGGCCAAGATACATCTATAGAATGTACAAAGTTAATAGTGAAATGTTCAAGAATGTTTTCCTGAAAGTATAACTGCTGTTTTTTATTTTTCGTAAGTTGGCTGCTGAAATGGTTTGCTGATAATGCTTTGTTTATACTGTTTTGTTTCAGTAGTACATTTATAACGTTTTCTTTTGATTAGGAGCTGAAAACTCTAGGAAATATTTTTTAAACCAGCAATTGCTTTTGATATATTTTTGCCTACTAAAATAAAAGTTTCATGTTCTGTCAAGTTTATTATGTTAAAATAGTTTTTTTTTTGTTTTTTTATGAAAACATGCAGAAATAATGGAAATAAATATGGGATTTTCATTCTGTCAAATCCATTTGAGGGAATGTAAGTGAATTAAGGTATTGGATTAACTGGTTTTTTCTTTGTTTTGAATAACATATAATTTATAAATATGCGATACAGTGTCTATTTGTAATAGTTTGTACTTCGCTCCTGTTAATCTGCTAATTGAGTAGTGCCATTCTTTTCAGTACTTGATGTTCTTTTTCATAATTGATGGTAGTTCATAAATTTTCCAACTGTTCTTGAGTGTTGGAGTGTGAACATAAAAGGGATGGAAGAGTCTTCCGTGTCCTGTGTCATTATTGCCTGGTACTGATTCCAGTGTCCATGTTAGGCTGCTGGCTTTCACATGTCAGGTGTGGTGTGCTCTCAAGAGACTTTCGTAGAGTGCTTGTCTTGTTTTTCTGAGGCACTTTGCCCACATGGGGTTTCTTGTTCAGGTCGGCAGGGATAGTTCTGATTTTTATTGGTCCTTGGAGGGTGGTGCAGAGATAGGCAGCTAGAAAGAGGAAATAGAATGATGGTGAGGTCCAGGTACAAAAAATGTGCCTGCAACTTATTTTTTTTAAATATCTTGATAGGTACGGGGTATGTAGTAGAATTGTCAAGTGTTAATGTTTTTGACAGAGTACCGCTGCCAAAATTCGCTTTTTGTTATATTTAGGCATGAACAATTGTCCTTTTATTGGGGCCATTAGTGCTGTTTGGAATATCATGGCCATCTAAAGGCAGTAGTTTAGCTCAGTCCATCAAAGACTGAATACCATTACGACACCCAGCAACCCAGCAGCAGTATTTCAGAACTTCTGCCTGCTTAAATGGGTGATCTGTGAATGCACTTGCTCAGGGATGCGTGACCCACATCACCTATAAATTTGATTGGAAGCTCCAGAACTGGCGTAGGCTGATGGATAGCAGATTAGAGCCCTGATTAACCATGTGATTCGAAGGCTGGGAATATATTGTCTAAGCAAGATTCATCAGATGCAATCAGAATTTCAAGTGGTCAGATGAAATTCAAATGTGTATTGTGGCTTTTCCTCCCCTACTGCTTTTCCTTCTAGGTTGCGGGGTTTTTTTTCCCCTCCTCTTTCCCCAAAGCTGAAAAATACTTCTTTGATGAATCTGCTCCTTACCCTAAAGCTGTCTGTCTGTTATTCATCAGAAAGCAGGTCGCAGTTCAGTGAGCAGAAGAAAAGATTTTAATAGAAGCTGTGCCAAGGGCTGTAATGCATCATTTTAGGGCCCTAATTACATTACAATGACAAATATCAATGGTGACAACAGCAATAACCTACATCCTTTAATGGCTGTGCGGGAAAAGGAGTTTGGGCCCCACGCCATTAGATTAGACTCAGTTTCAAAACACAGGCCATTAGAAGTGCGTGTCCACACTATTATTGGCGGCTCGCTGAAGCCCGGTGGAAAGGCCTGTAAATAAATGATGCCTCCCTAAAGCTGGGCCCTGTGGGACAAAAGAGGCAAAATTAGATGACCATGGAAGCACAGTGTTTCCGAGGCAACTTTAGCTTTCAAAGTGAGGAATGACCCGCTTAATTTTATGAAATCACACACAAATCCCACCCCTCTGGCTGCCAATTAGCCTGTCTATGAAAATCCATTGGCATGACAACTTAAAGAAATTAAGAAGTCTTTTAAACAAAAGGAGACCTTTAAAGAAAAAGTTGGGTTTCTATCTTTCTCTGTGATGTATGTGTTACCATACATGATTTAGTATCAGGGCTTTCCTTCTTTTCACATTCATTTTTAAGAAAATATAGGGTGTTTTTCTTTGAAGAGTTGCTAAGACTTAAAATGGCATAGGTCCGAAATTAAGGAACCAAATAACTTTTGGTCTTCATTTTGCCAGATGAGTAAGTTTCCTGCATAGTTTTTGTTGCCTAGATTATGTAGGCAAACTACAGAGCTCAGTTTTGTTCTGTGCCCACACGTTTTTCAACCCTTCTAGCAAGGGACTATTTTATTTATGTAAACAACATAATGAGGAAAATATGCTTGGCAGATGGTTCTGAGCATTAGAATCATCAGTTTGGTCTGCCCCAGAGTGTCTCATTATCTTTTATTCTCGCCCCCTCTACCTTCCCCTACAGAAAGCTTAACAATCAAATGCTTTTGAGCATTCAGCCTCCTGAATGCTACTCTATTTTCTTGGCTTACCCTGGAATTTCACCCCATAACCACTGTGGTATGTTCCTCCAGGTGGAGAGTGATTTGGTGATTCCCTTTGCAGCTTTTCATGGTGGTTTAAGTTTTCTTAAAGGATGGCTAAGTGCTCCTTGGGGCCAGCGCAGTAAATTAAATCAGGTCAGCACGGTTGGGTCCTTACTGCTCCACGTTGGTGTTGAGTTGTCCATCGTGTTAGGAATGCAGGCTGGAATGGAAAGTTTAGGTTTGAAACTGTGGGGTGAATTTGTGTTTTCTGTTGGCTGGCAAAGTTTTTAAGGTGCTGGCATTTAAAAGATTATATAGCTCCAAAGTCAGAAAGGTCACTGATGAAAAAGAAAGAAACCTAGATTTCACCAGGAGTGCCGCTGTCATTCTGGCAATGACTTAGCAGGAAAAAGAGTATTTTTGTCCTCTTATAAAAGGAAGCGCTGACCCTGGATAGAATTTAAGAACATTTTAGGAATAGTAATTATGTTTGCTGCCTTTGACACTTCTTACCTCTTCTTTCCCCACCAGTCATTAAAATATAAGTCATTTTGTATGTGTGTATATATACAAAAATACATGTTTACTTATCAAGTATATAACCCACCACTTGGAAATAAAAATTAAGGTGAGCATTAATAGAGCTTTTGAGAGAAAACATGTAGTATATTTTTCGTTTTCTATTTTTTAAACTTATCATGTTCTAGTGGCATAAGATTTCTGTACTTGCAAAAATTATTAAAGAATAAATTTTGTTATCTGACATTGTCAGGACTTTTGCAGAGCTTTGGTAAAATACAGTGTGCTCAAGGATGGTCTCCAGATAGAATCAGATTGCTTTCTGCTAAAAATAGTAAGATTTTAGTATGTTCCAGATCTCTACACACTAAACACCCTGATGGGACACATTTGGAAAGCTTTATGGTTGAAAACATCCCATTGGTCAACAATTTGTAACTAAAAATCTGAACTAATCAACTTAGTTGTCTGACTGGGTGCTGTTTTTTCAGGTTGGAAGGTTCAGTGTAAAATCCCAGTGCCATATTTAAAGGAAAAGCCACAAACATCAAAATCCAATGAGTCAGTAATGGAAGGAGTTAGGATGTAGGGAAGAGTGTATCTTTAACTTTAGGATTTTATGAAAAACAGCATTGTAGTGGGCTGGTGTCTTGATGAAGGCTTTTGGAAACTGATTTCCAGTTTGAAAGTTAAATTCCTTTTTATATTGTCCTGATGCTTGAAGGTTAACTTTTTAAGATGCATGCTGGTTAATAAATTATGCTGTTAATGTGGCACTGTTGTCACTATTTCCTTCTAATGGGCTTGCTGATGAGATAGTGTTCCTCTTCCTAAGGAAACACTGCAGCCAGAATATAAAGTGTGTTTTCATATCATTCTGTTAATAATTTGAGAATCTGTAACCAGCTGACTGTTCTCTTTATTGCTTTCCTTTTTTTTTCAGGCAGAGATTGTCAAGAGGCTGAATGCTATCTGCGCACAAGTCATTCCTTTCCTGTCCCAAGAGGTAAGGCAGTTGATTTCAGGCACTGGGTAGAAGTTGTCACTCCAGTGTTGTAGAAAAAGAGATTGTGGAACTGACTCTGACCTTGGTGTTTGTATTTCACGTTTCTGAGATACAGTGTTCTTGTTTCAACTTCTGTACTTAACAATCAGTGTTATACACTTTCAATGTATTTGTGTAATGGAATATTTTTCTAATGTGCTAAGCAAAATTCAATTGTAAATATTTCGCTGTCATTATATGATGTAGTGTTGCTCAGAATTGTGCCTGTTTGTCATAATGACATCTAATAGGGGAGATTGAAAAACAGCCAGGAAGAGAGGAGCTTGTTCTACACTTCTGTCAATGGGCTTTAAGAGTCAGCGGAAGAGGAATCAGAGAGAAGGGCCTTCCCTGCTAAACAAACTAAAGTAACTTTTGGCTAGCTGTTTTTCTTAAGTTACTTGTTATTACCTGATTAAGTCTTTTTACTGCCTGTACATTTGGGAAGAGAAAGGAAAGCTGAACTCAGTGAACTCATTTCTCTGAGTGTTACTTGCCGCAAAATTAGGCTTTGCTGACAGGGCCTTCACAGCACCCCTGACCTGGCATGTGGCATGCTAGTTTGTATGCTGTCAGCAGAGGCACACAGGTTGGAATGGAGAGCTGCATTTCCAGGGTTAATGACTACCCGGGGGCTTCATTTTCCTCTCTGCTTGCCTTTGGCAATGACAAAGTTTAAGGTAGAGAACTGGATAGAGATGAGTTTTACTCCGGATTTCTGAAGCCTTCACCTGCTCGGGTATGATCAGCTGTTAAGAAAGAACACCTGTCACTGCTGGAGTATCCATCCGCCTGTCTTGCAGCCACAGTGCTCTGTGTCTCCGTCCTATCACTGCCTTTTGGGAGAGCTGTCACCCAGCTGCCAGCCAGGGGCATGAGAGGACACAGCCAGTATTTGAGTATGTGTGTATATTCCAGATGTGCAGATTGCTGTCTGTGACTTCTTATTTGGTCTGAACTGTGGTAGGCTTGACTAACCATGAGTACACTTAATTGATCATATTCTGGGGAAGGGCACATTCATATTTATAAACTTGAATTTACATGCTCTTTTGGGTCACAAAAAACAAAGATACCTTTTCTCTTCTCTCTTAGCTGTGACCACAAAGCCTCCGCCAGTCATATCCCTATTTGCCTATTTTTACCTAGGATTTGCTTGTGACTAGATTAGATGGTATGGTGAATAAGAGTGTGTAGGGGGCACATTTGCATTTCTTTAGGAAGGACTACTGCCCCTGGCCTGGTCCAGACTGGAGTGAGTTTCTTGCTTTAAGCTGCTCTGCTTTAGGATTCTAGAGAATGGGAAGAATGTGTGACCACACCACTGCAGTTAACCAGGATGGGATGTCACATCCCAAGGTAACAGGAAAAGTTAGGATTCTCCCAGGGGTGGTATTAGACTTTGGGCCGTTGTAGTCACAAACCCCTCTATATAATCATTGGGACAGCTTGTCCTCATGACCCATCTGCAGGAGAAGTGGAAGGAGGTTGTGGGCGTGTCAGCAGAGCTGATTTGCCCACAGGTAGTTTTCCCACAGGAGTTAATGTGTGAGCAGGCCCAGTAGGAATGGAGTGTGTAATGGTGGTGCTGAGCAAGACTGGACTGGAATTAATTGGCTAAGGAGGTTGTCCCTTTAGAGGAGAGCCCAGGGGACCTGCTGGCCACTCCTTTTGCTTTAAGCTGGAAGCGTAGGTAGCATACTGTCACCATTTTAACTGTTTATTTCTCTGCGGCTTGGACATTTCTCAGTGGAAATTCTTGATTCATATAGAGTGACCTATGTCAAGGTTTGTTAATACATGCTAATTCTGGGTATATTTTTTTCTGCTTTTTACTTTGGATTTAATTGGCTTTTCTTTCCCCAGTTCCCTAAGATTTGTATCTTTTAATATGTGGGCCACAAATGTGTTTGTGTCGGTCAAAGCATGATCCCTCTGATCGTTTGTGTTTGAACCGTGGACCACCGTCTTTCCTCTTCAGAGCATTCTGTGAGCGTCAGACTCCTCGCCTCTTCCCCAAGGCCAGATGGACTGTAATCTGGAGGGAGGGGAGGAGGCAAGTTATTAGAGGAAGATGAATTCTATTTCCTGTCTCTTCAGAGGCATGGGAAATCGCTCTTGCATGGCCGCGCGGCACTCTGTGCCAGGACTGAAGGCTCTTAATCTGATCTTTTAACACCAGCTCTCTGTGTGATCGCCTCTCCGCCAAGATGGCAGCTGTGGCATTAGAATTTATTTTAAAATGCTTTTATTTAAAAATTAAATGATCATATTTAGAAGAAAGAAAAAAAGCATGCCCTGAAGACTTGTATATAAGCTACAGGACAGTGATTGGAGGGATTTTGAGCATCTCAAAGACAAGCTTTTTGGAGTTTTCTGCAGAAATGAGGTAAATTTACATACATCTAGGTGAAGCATATTTTTAAATTTAGACCCCATGTGCAGATTAGTGTACCTGCTTAGTATTACTTGTGTGTACTTTACCACGTTTTCCTAACTTAAAATCCCCATGTAATGCTGAATGACAGTGATTAAATTTTTTAACTGTGAGGCTTTTTTCTTTAGGAAATGAATTACATAATTGTAGGTGAAGTGTGTCTGTATATAAAAATCATAGAGAAAATTTCTTCTAGTAGACCATTTTAAAGTCATTTTTTTTTAAAGTGAGAGCCCACGTATATTTTAATAATCTGCTGTTGCCCTTGTGTACAGTATGACTGTCTCTCAGGTCTTAGGCGTTAGATAAAACACAAGTAACCACTACTTACAAGTGCTTAGAATTTCACAGCATCCCTAATGTCAGAATTTAGAGAAACCTTATGAGCCTTCATCTCTCTATTCTTTTTCCCTACTTATTTTTGGCTGCTAGAAATTGGTAAGAGTGTGATCTATCTTCTCCTGTTACAGTTTTTCTTCAAAAAGCACCTCTCAGGGTAGTAAGTGTGAGGGGCTCCTCTCTATCCCAGATTGGGTCTCATTTGCAGGAGAACTGTAAAGAACTAACTCTGAGTTGGCACTATGGAACTGCCAGGATGATGGTGAGCTTTGGGTCCAGTCCTTGCCTCTCTCTTACAGATGGCTTGGCTTACTTCAACCGAGCTAGCTGCATGCCCTTTAGTGAGTTCTTTGTCTCTCGAAGCCTTAGTTTCCTCATTTGTGGGATGGAATTAATAATAGCATTGAATGTACCCAGTGGCTGTGAGGATTACTCTGGATTATACCTGGGCACTTTAGCACATATAAGTACCCTCTGCTGTGGACTGGTAGTACTACTAACTGTGGCAGACTTGTTTCCTTTTGGGAGGACCTGGAACTGACTGTACCTTCCCCTTTTAATTTGCATTTTAGAAAAACACACATTTGGGTTTTTTGTTTGTTTGTTTGTTTTCTGGTACCAGGAATCGAACTCATGACCTTGCGCTTGCCAGGCAGGCGCTGTGCCACTGAGCTAAATCCCCAGCCCCCAAAACACACATTTGTTGTCTTCCTTTCTGATGTCCTTCTTATAGAGGAAAAGTGTAAATTAAACTGAACCCAGAGCTCTGAACGAGCTAGTTTTCATCATCAGGTTTTGACTTGTATCCTTCATCCTGATGGGTTCTCAGTAAAATTGAAGGATGCCTTTAGAAGCTGTTTGGAACCCCCTATCCACCCCGCCCCAATTCCGGGAGCAAACCTTTAAGGTGATTCTAATGTGGTGGGAAGCTCTGCACCACTGTTACACTGTGTCATTAAGGGGTAGCATTTCTCCAAATTTGAAATTGGATTAGCTCTGCCTCTACTGGCTTTGTGTTGAGAAAGTTGATCTCTGAGCCTTGGTATTGCTATAGTGTGAGAAAAATAACTCTCTCTTTATAATGTTGTTTATGTGTATTGTATGTAAAGTACCTGACAAGTAAGTGCCCTTTTTCCTTCCCTCCTTTGCTATTGTACTTTCAGGAAGTTAATATTCCAGGTTAACTTAGTCCTGAGACCTCTGGAGAGGAAGAACTCAGTAGAAATAAGGCTGGATTCAAGGTAATGTCTCAGAATAGGCTGGCGAGCAGACCTCTTCCTGTGATGCTCCAGCAATGGACAGTTACCTTTGCACAGATTATCTTTCAGAAGGAAGGGATTTTTTTGGGGGGAAAGTCAATATTTATGTTAACCTAGTAGATTAAGTGTTGCATTTCAGACGTTCAGTTCTAGGCCTGATCTAATTTGGAGGACACTTACATGGTTTTGTTTCTCTGAAGGGGTCATTTTTGACATAGACAGGGTATGTATGTTTTATGGTAGCCAGTAACGTCTTGCTAAGACCTCTGAGAACTTCAGACTCCTAGTAGACTGCAGATCAATAGGGGAAATTTTTATTGCAAGTTTTAATTGAAAAATCTTTATCCTGTGCACAGCTGTATTTTTTAGAAACTTGTGACTGTGACAATGAAGAGCAGAGTTCATTGGCAGAGCCATGTTATACACAGGGAATATGAGAGGAGGCTGAGGTCAGCCAGGTGTAGAACCAAATCCTGGCTCAGCCTAGGCTGCCTTTACAGCACTGAGCAGAAAGGCTAGCTTTCTTGAGATACCTGCACAATAGGATTGTGGTGTGAGGGTTAATGGTAATATGAAGGACCTAGGGGGACATTTGGCTGGACTAACAGAGATCAGAGAAACAGTGGTTTAATCAAGATGAGAACTTACTTCTTCTCCCTCACACACTGGCCTAGGAGAAGCTGTGTCTGGTTCAGTGACTCCAGTATGTTGTATTGATGTTCATCGTACCTAATACCATCATGTTTCACTCCAGCTGGCAGGAAGGAGAAAGGAAAGGACACGATCTTCCCTATTAAGGGAATGATGTTGAAGGTGCTATGTTCTTGCCCTTTCTGCAGTATCTACCACCTAGTTATCTGCCCCTGCCAGCTACGGGAGACTTGGAAATGCAGTCTTAGCTGAGTGACTATTATGTCCACCTAAAG